TGAAAGGAGATGGTGGTGCTATAGGTATCACAGAGAATGAAGCCGCATTGACACGATGGATGGTAACGGGCCCAGAAACAGCTAGGCTTTTGATTGGGTACTATGAAAAACACTATATGAAAAAAGACACAGATCGCCACCATGAACAGATACCAAGTGTACAGAAGGCGTTCATATCACAAGTCAAGAACGTCATTGATGGAGGAACTAGGAAACCCCTTTGTATATACTGGCACAGATTTGTATACGCTTGACACCAAACGGATAATGCCTGATATCGTTGTAAATAAAATAAAGTCGGCAGAAAGTATTGGCAAAACACAATACCAGAAGTTCGTTGCAGAGCGTATTAATGCTGATTGCACATCATTCCATGACACAATTCACAAAAACAAACTGCCTCTGTTTAATGCTAGTTTGGGAAAGAAGCCTACCAAGTCCGCCCCGAAAATCTCCGACTTGTGTGATGATGCTAATCTCTTCTCACGGATGTACATATCATGCCAAGCTCGAAACAGTGATATGGATGCCTTCTTCATGCATGAAAATCATGCCTGGCCTCCACCACCAGCATCAAATCGCATCATGCACCAATCGACGAAGTCTGACTTGATGGAATGTTTGGAATCGTTGGCACCAAAATCAGAATCTAAACCACATGTTCATGTTAAAATTGTTGATGGCGCTGCCCTTGTTCACACACTTGATCCAAAGAAGTCGAAGAAAATTGTGAAAACATTCCAGAACTATTCACAATTGGTGTTCTTGCCCTCTTTAGAACGCATGCTACAGGATGTTGCACGTTTAGATTTGTTTGGGATATCTATAAGGAAGACAGCCTAAAGTCACAAACACGACAGAATCGTGAAACTGGTAACCAGATTCGAGTGGCCAACAACACTAAAATTCCTGCTAATTGGGAGAACTTTCTTTAGTGTGATTCCAACTTCTTGCCGATGCTGTACAAGAGTTCCAATCCTCCCAAGGAAAACATATCATTTCAACAAAAGTCCAAAGCACTATATCATCTTCCTCTGCTGACCTCTCAGACTGCACTCATGAAGAAGCGGACACCCGGCTCCTGTTTCATGCCTCCCATGCATTCCATCAAGGATTCACTAAAGTGATGATACATGCCACTGATATGGATGTGGTGGTTCTCGCAGTTGCTGTATCAAGCGTCTTCAAAGATTGTGAAATGTGGGTAGCATTTGATCATGGTTCTAAACTGAGATACATCCCCTGTCACCTAATTTCAGCTGAACTAGGCAATGATACATCATGGGGTCTTCTGTTTATGCACGCGATATCAGAATGTGATACTGTTTCTGCATTCTTCAGAATTGGAAAGAAAACAGCTTGGGTTGTATGGCGCAGTATGCTTCAGCTCACAGCTACATTTGTGCATTTATCTCAAGCTCCAACTCAAGTATGTAACCTGGACGAGCGCGACTCGCATAGAATGGCACAAACACATAATATTCAATATATACAAGTTTAATACACTATATACACATTATAAATTGTACACACAAATGTAAATATGTACAACTCACTCACTCATTCAAAACACACACACTTTAATAATTACATATGAAACAGTATAGTCTGTCCTCAACAAATCTGGAAAGAGGTCTGGAAACGTCTCTGGACCGACTAACAACCAGCAATGTTCACAGCATCGAACAGTTGCACATAGGAACGTCTGATGACAAATGTCCAAAGGAATTCATCAATAGAGCACAACTGTCCACACAGCATAGCACCTGCCCACACAGGATATCAGAACATCTGTCCACACAGGACATCATAGCATCTGTCCACACAGGACATCATAGCATCTGCCCACACAGGACATCATAGCATCTGTCCACACAGGACATCATAGCATCTGTCCACACAGGACTGTAACTGGCGGCTGTCCTGGCCCACATATGACTCTGTATTCTATATATGTATGTACTCTGACTGTCTCACATTCGTTCCCGCCATCAACATGGGTAGAACTGCAATAACACAAGACTACGTCTGACTATGCTGACTATATAGTCTATAATGATTCATAAATATTTGTACACAGTATTTCTTCTATTACAACTATTATTTGTGTATATACATTCATCTGCCTACATACAGTAACTGATATGAATCTATTCACTAATTCTACTCTGAATTCCATGTTATTCATTGACATATTGACAAGTTTCGCTTATATTTATTAAATATAAACTAAATTCATATAACAGTTGATATCTTATAGCTATAATAGAGATATATTGAACTGTACTCATATAGCGTTATAAGCATATACATTTATCGATAAATATTCGCCTCAAATATCAAACACAACCGATTTCGGGCATATAATTGCAATATAAAGGCACAAGAAATGATTACAAACTTACCGCAAACTGTATTTTGCGTTGGCTAACCCCATATAAGCAATAACTGACTGCCAAAATTTACACTGCTGCTCTCGCTTACATGTATATTTTCCTTCCGGCGAGACTAATTTCAAATATTCGAACTCGGATCCGGAGAATCCGTATTTATAGAATTTACAGCAAATAATTAAGAAAATAAAAGTACAATATTTAGACGAGATAATACCTGATTTCTTTCATCGAATACATGTACAAATAGTTCAGACATTGTTTTGATATATACAAAAAAGTAAAATATACAAAAGTATGGTTGGGACTGTGACATACGCCCCCGCTTCAAGAAATAACCCTTCTTTTATTTCTCTAACTACATCACAACCATAATAGTCCAAAGTCCAAACTCTACTGAGAAAGTCTGCTCCCACATTGTCTGTTCCTTTGATAGCCTGTATCCGAAATCGATGTGGCTGAAGCTGCAACGCCCACCTCATTAAGCGTGCATTCGTCCCTTTGGATTTGTTGAGATATAACAACGGTTGGTGGTCCGTTTCCAAGACGAACTGACGACCATAGAGATATTTTTAAAATTTGGAAATTCCCCACACAACCGCAAGACACTCTTTTTCAACAACAGAATATGACACTTCACCACCTTTAAGTTTCCTGCTCATGTACGCAACTGGATGTACAACCCCATCCACCTCTTGCAACAGGATAGCTCCGATGCCTTTATCTGAAGCATCAGTCCTCAGGATGAACTCGGAATTCAAATCAGGCAGTTTCAGAACAGGACTAGTCGACAACACTTTCTTCAATTGCACAGAAAGGGAATGCAACATCTTAGAATCAATTCAACTAGAGGCAATTCACATTATTACTGGCCTAAGACGGGGCACCAGTCATGCAATTCTATACAATGAGTCTGGATTAATACCCTTAGCTAAAAGAAGACACTTACATCAAAATATCCATTTTTTAAGATTTTAAATAACAGATGCCCTCCTCATGTATTTGACTCTATCCAACCTTTTATAAACAATAATAATGCTCCTTATCCACTTCGACACAATAGATTGTTTGATGTGCCCCATACAAGAACTTGTCAATATAGCACTAGCTTCTTTCCAAAACTTATGAATGAATGGAATGGCCCATCTTGTCTGTATCCCTCATTAACTTCTATTTATGCGATAAAAAAATCTTTTTTTTATCACAGCAAGCTACCATTCCTCCTTTCCACTGTAATGATACTTTCAAATATAAAGGACAAAGAAAAGCTAACATAATTTTATGTCAACTAAGAAACTCTGCAAGTAATCTGAATTTTGATTTATTCAATTCCCACATTAAAGATAACCCTGCCTGTAACTGTGGCCACCCAGTTGAAGATTGTACCCACTTCTTTTTCCACTGTCCCTTCTTTACTAACCAGAGACAACTCCTCTTTAATTCCCTTTCTGACCTTAGTGATTCTATACCTCCTTCAATTGATACATTTCTCAAAGGTTCTCCTATACTTGATGCAAACATGAATAAATTTATTCTTGATATAGTTCAGAGATTCATAACTGACACTGGTCGCCTATTTTAGCAAATGTACATCCCATTCTATACTTCTATCTTTTCTATCTCTCATTTGTATTTGATGTCTCAAGTGTGGGTCCGCCTGTCCATTTTAGGGACTCAGCTCAGGATTATGTGCAAATGGACTGTTTGAACCTGCAGCCTGTCCCACCACAAATGGACATATTTTGACCCAGTCTTGTAATATCTTGTGATACCTAATTTGTATTTTTTAGTTTATGTTACTGTTCTGGTACTCAATAATACAAACGATGGTGATGCCTATTTTGCATTTCGGTTATATAATCATCCATTTGAATCTATCTTCTACATTCTTATTCCTAATATTATTATTATCTGTTATCTCTAATTTTGATTGATGTGTCTGTATACTTGTTTATGCACTGTAAGGAGAGGGCTTTCATAGGCTCTGCCTGTTGCCCAATTCCTACTGTCAATACCACCATGACAATAAAATATTCTGAAAGTGAACACTTTCTTCAGCGTTTTGAAAGCTAGATCTTGTGGTTCCTTCCAGATAACTGCATTCGGCTGATCTTTCCTAGTGAGGTCCGTCAAGGGTGCTGCAATCGTAGCAAAGTTGGGTACGAATTTCCTGTAGAAGCCCGCTAAGCCGATAAAGAATCGCACTTGCTTCTTAGTCTTTGGTATCTTTGCTTCCCGAATAGCTTTGACCTTATCTGGATTGGGTTGCAAAAGCTGTTGTCCAATCATATGTCCCAAACACTCTAGGCTTTTGAATCCTAACGCACACTTCGTAGGTCTAGCTGTTATCATGGCTTTCCTCAGACGTACAAGCAACTCACGTAGTATTGCAAGATGTTCCTCACAAGTCTTGGTGTAGATCAAGATGTCATCAATGAAACTTTCTATGTTCTTCATGCTCTCTAGCAGAATCCTCATTAGGCGGCAAAAAGTAGCCGGTGCGTTTACCAAACCAAATGGCATAACAGAAAACTGAAACAAACCGATGGGTGTTGTGAACGCTGTTTTCTGTTTCGATGTCTCCTCCATTGGCACCTGCCAGTATTCTTAACTGAGATCTAAGCGGGAGAAATATCTGTTTCCTGACAGTCGAGAAAAAATATCGTCCGCATTCGGCATCGGTTCAGCGTCGAAGATGGTTACCCGGTTCAGTTGCCTGTAATCAATACCAAAGCGGTTTGTGCCGTCTTTTTTCCTGACGATTACCACCGGTGCTGCATATGGTGCATCGGACTTTTCAATGACTCCCATCTTCAGCATCTTTTCTACTTCTTCTCGGATGGTTTCCTTCAAATTATAGGGAATCGGATAGTTCTTTGCCCTAACTGGTTCGCTGGAAGTTGTTCGGATATCATGAACTACCAAATTAGTTCTCCCAGGAACATCTGACAATACATCTGAGAATTCTTCCAACAAAGTCTTCATCTCTACCTTCTGTTTGGATGTCAGTAGCTCTGATACTTGCACGTCTTCTACTGTCTCTGTCCTCACAGGTGTTGGTATGTTGAAACAATCAGTACTCGGTAATTCCTCTTCAATACCACCAGAATCCCCCTCTATAACTGATGAACAAACCGCGTTAAGAACGCCAGCTTCATTCAATCCTGTCCCTTCTCGTTGAACGTATCGACGCAACAAATTTGCGTGTAGAACTTTCTGCCTGCCGTCGACAGACACAACATAATCCATAGGCCCTTTACGTTCAACGATGCCATAAGGCCCACGCCACTGCATTTGGAGCTTGTTCCGTTTCGTAGGTAGCAACACCAACACTTTCTCACCTGGCTCCATCACTCTGTTCTTCGCTTTCCGGTTGTAAAACTTTGCCTGTGTGACTTTCGCCTTTCGGAGCTGTTCTTGTGCCAACTTGCAGGTCTCCTCAAGACGTTCTCGCAGATCAAGAACATATTGGTAAGTACTCTTTACTTCGGGGTCTGCAACCTCCTTCTCGCACAATTCACGTAAGATCATCATTGGTCCACGTACAACCCGTCCGTATAGCAACTCAAACGGGGAAAACCCCAAGCTTTCCTGTGGTACCTCCCTATACGAGAACAATAAAGCATTCAAATATTTATCCCAATCCTTTGGTCGCTCAGAGCACATCCTTCTCAACATCTGTTTTAGAGGTCCGTTATAGCGCTCAACCAGCCCATTACACATGGGATGGTAAGGGGTTGTCGTAAGCTGACATATTGAAAGTAGCCTGCTAACTTCTCCCATAACAGATGATGTGAACTGACTCCCTTGGTCTGTTAGTACTTCCTTCGGTACTCCAATCCGACTGTATACGTCCACTAGCGCTTCTGCTACCCGTTCGGTCTCAATTCCCTTCAAAGCTACAGCCTCTGGATATCGTGTGGCGTAGTCGACAATCGTGAGTATGAACCTATTTCCCCGATCAGTAGCGGGTTGCAATAGTCCGACTATATCGATGGCGACTCGCTGAAACGGCGCATCAATAAGTGGCATCATTCCAAGTGGCACCTTCGTCACTCTGCCTTTCGGGAAAGTCCTCTGGCACACGTCACAAGAGCGACAATACCTCGTCACGTCAGACTGTGCTCCCGGCCAATAGAATTCTGTCATGATCCTGTCACTAGTTCGTTTGGCTCCCAAATGGCCTGCCATCACAGAATCATGAGCAAGTCCCATAACCTTCTGCCGGTACGTCGAGGGAACGACGAGTTGCTTAAAAATCCGTCCCTGCTGCGTAGATGGACTCTTATACTCCCTGTATACCAGACCATTCCGTGTGAAGAAATGTGATTTCCCACCATCACGTCTCTCCTTAACTTCTCCCGATACCGCCATCTCACGAATCTTAGCCAACGTTCCATCTATTATCTGGGCATCCTTGAAATCTATGGGATTTATTTCTTGAAACACCTTGGGAACCTTCAGTGGTCTGTATGGCGTCTCTTCCGCCTTCTTCTGTGCCCTGGTCTGTACTGCACTAACCTGTTCCTCAAGGTTCCACTTCGGATTCGGATCTCCAGGAGATCTAATACCATGTATGTTTCCCAAAATGAGGTCATAAATTGGAGTGTCCATGCACCAAGCCATAACAGTTCCTTGATAGTACGGTGTATCAACGACAACATTCGCTGTATCAACTTTCAACTTACTACCATCTGCCAAGGTACACATCTTGGTATCACCAGTGAAATCTGCGTCCACGAGACTCCTTCTGATAACGACTCCACTACAACCTGTGTCACGCAACACTGTGACAACATGCTTGCCGATAAGACCTCTGACCACAGGCATACCAGAATCCAACACCGGCGCACTACATGAAATGCTGAGCTGATCTGGATCTCGTTCATCGTTGTCATCTTCACTTGAACTAAGAGCTCCACATGAAGGCGGGTTACCCGTCTTCTTGCCGGATGAACGATGCTTGCGGATCCCTTCTATTTGTGCTGCCTCTTGTGCATCAGAGTCTGCCACTAATCCGACACGTGATTGCTTCTTCTTGGTACTGGCTGGACAACTGTAGGAAAGATGATCCGTCTTCTTGCAGATATAACACGTCTTTCCTCCTAAATTGCTACCACTAATGACCTTACCTTTAGGCTCAACCCTTTTACCAACTGACTTTGTGAAGTCCCCTTGGGAACATTTCCCTGATACTGCTTATGTCCAGTATGTTTCGCCTTTACAAGGTTCGAAGGGTTGCCTCTGGCGTCAGCAAATTGATCTGCTAGCTTCGCCATTTCTGCCATGGACTTTGGAATGCGTTCCTTCAGAAACAGCCTAAGCTCACTTCCACAAACCTGCAAAAATTGGTCCCGAAGCATTAAGTCCTTTAACCCGTCGTAGGTCTTCTCAGCTTTCGCCAGCTCCAACCATCTGACAAAGTAGTTGTCCAACCTTACAGAAAACTGAGTAAGCGTTTCACCTAAGTCAGGCCTACCAGTCCGGAACCGTTGTCGAAACCCTTCCTCGGTCATCTCAAATCGTTTAAGTAAAGCCTCTTTCAGAGTATCGTAGTTGAATGACTGTTCCACGGGTAGTCGACTGAAGACGTCTAAGGCATTACCCTTGAGAAGAGCACTGAGGTTAGTCGCCCACTGACTATCTCGATCCCAGTGTTGAGCTATAGCATACCGCTCAAACCGCTGCAAATAACTGTCAATGTTGTCCTTCCCTTCTTCGTAAGGAGGCAGTTTAGGACCCTTCACTAAACCATGGGACATCTTCTGGTCAGCATTTCCTGTAGGATTAGCACCTTGGGTTTTCTGATATTCCAATAACTCTATCTTCCTGCTATGTTCTCTCACAGCACGTTCCTCACGCTCCTTCTCCAGTGACAACTGTAACGCCATTTCATCCCTCTTCCCCTTCAATAGAACTAGCTGGTGCTGTCTCTCAGCTTCGGTTCGCTTTTCCTCTCTATCAAGCTTCCTCTCTTCTCTCTCTCTGTTTTGTTCATCAAGAAGAAAATCACGGAGCTCTGACCTCTGTAGTCCAAGAGCACTCCCAGTTTTAAGTAATTCTTGAAGTGACGATATCATGCAAGTGGGTACAATGGAAACAACAAGATACATGTACAACAAAGCAACATAAGCAACAATTTGTGTCGTACAGCAAAGTAATGCTACAAATATTACTACTGAACTCACCTCGGATGAACCAGCACAAATACAGGTTGCTATAACGTCAAATCAATAGTGAGAGGGTGAAATCTGTTGTGTTCTAAACGAATCCTAGTTATATTCAAATTACTGATATAGCGCAAAATGAGCCATTCTACTTACCATGCAAAGTCGCCTAATCCCACCGCTGCCACCAAAAAGTGTAACCTGGACTCGCATAGAATGGCACAAACACATAATATTCAATATATACAAGTTTAATACACTATATACACATTATAAATTGTACACACAAATGTAAATATGTACAACTCACTCACTCATTCAAAACACACACACTTTAATAATTACATATGAAACAGTATAGTCTGTCCTCAACAAATCTGGAAAGAGGTCTGGAAACGTCTCTGGACCGACTAACAACCAGCAATGTTCACAGCATCGAACAGTTGCCCATAGGAACGTCTGATGACAAATGTCCAAAGGAATTCATAAATAGAGCACAACTGTCCACACAGCATAGCACCTGCCCACACAGGATATCAGAACATCTGTCCACACAGGACATCATAGCATCTGACCACACAGGATATTAGAACATCTGCACGACCACACAGGGCACCCTAGCATCTGCCCACACAGGACATCATAGCATCTGTCCACACAGGACATCATAGCATCTGTCCACACAGGATATTAGAACATCTGCACGACCATATAGGACATCATAGCATCTGCTCACATAGGACATCATAGCATCTGTCCACACAGGACATCATAGCATCTGTTCACACAGGATATTAGAACATCTGCACGACCATATAGGACATCATAGCATCTGTCCACACAGGACATCATAGCATCTGCCCACACAGGACATCATAGCATCTGTCCACACAGGACATCATAGCATCTGTCCACACAGGACTGTAACTGGCGGCTGTCCTGGCCCACATATGACTCTGTATTCTATATATGTATGTACTCTGACTGTCTCACATTCGTTCCCGCCATCAACATGGGTAGAACTGCAATAACACAAGACTACGTCTGACTATGCTGACTATATAGTCTATAATGATTCATAAATATTTGTACACAGTATTTCTTCTATTACAACTATTTGTGTATATACATTCATCTGCCTACATACAGTAACTGATATGAATCTATTCACTAATTCTACTCTGAATTCCATGTTATTCATTGACATATTGACAAGTTTCGCTTATATTTATTAAATATAAACTAAATTCATATAACAGTTGATATCTTATAGCTATAATAGAGATATATTGAACTGTACTCATATAGCGTTATAAGCATATACATTTATCGATAAATATTCGCCTCAAATATCAAACACAACCGATTTCGGGCATATAATTGCAATATAAAGGCACAAGAAATGATTACAAACTTACCGCAAACTGTATTTTGCGTTGGCTAACCCCATATAAGCAATAACTGACTGCCAAAATTTATATTTATAGAATTTACAGCAAATAATTAAGAAAATAAAAGTACAATATTTAGACGAGATAATACCTGATTTCTTTCATCGAATACATGTACAAATAGTTCAGACATTGTTTGATATATACAAAAATGTAAACTATACAAAAGTATGGTTGGGACTGTGACAAAGTAACACCCAACGACATGGACCAAATAGAAAGATACGTGGTTCTACTGTACCAGCCAACATCGGGACTTAGTCATGTGAATGAAGCCAGGAAATACTTGTTCACTCACAACCGTAAGATGGAAAACATTCCTCCAACGTTGAATGCTCTTGAACAGCACGTGAAAAGGGCTGTTTACCAGGCAGGGTATATCTGGGGACAGACACTTACTGGCGAGCCGGATGTTCCTTCACCAGAATTATGGGGGTGGAAGAGAGTGAAAGATGATTCCCCATGGATTCCATGCTAGATAACCCTTCCAGAGGCAGCCAAAGGTTGTCAGGGTGCAAGAAGGAATGTACTCGGCGATGCAAGTGTGTCAAAGCAAATCTGCCGTGCACACAGCTGTGCTTCTGCCCAGGACAGTTTTTTTTATTAAATGACATTACTATTAAGGACAGGAACTCTTGTGTTAAGTGAGATTCTCCCATACTTTGCCAAACAATCTATAACTAAATTATCAGGTTCGGATTGTTCAAACAATGGTACGTCCTAAAGACATTTTGTCACCTAATCGATTCGGATTATGACAATTTTTAAAAAAATAAACATATGAAGGAAAACTGCATAAGTCTTGAATTGCATTTTATTAGATTCCTTGACCTCAAAAATATAGGTATAAACATCAAGATAATTGAAATCGGGGCACTATGAGGAATTTCATGGACGAAATCTTGTTTTGTGGCGGCCATTTTGATTTTCCAGATTTTTGACGGGAACGGCTGGAGTGAGGTCGTGGTTCCCGCAATTTTTGAAATTAGCATACCCAAAACTCCCCTAGGACAAATTATCATGCTTCTTTCCGGAAGTACACGCCCATTTCACATATCCGTCTTACTAGTGGCAGTATGTACCTACAGAGGAGAATCCAGCCGATGAGGGGACACGTGGTTTCTCCCCAGAGCAGTTTGCTGACAGTCTGTGGTTTAATGGACCATCCTTCCTTCGCAATCACATCAGCCCTGATCTTGATGTCGAATATTCTTTGGTGGAGCCAGAATTGGACAAAGAAGTACGACCTGATGTTCACTCGTGGAAGACTAGCATACGTCCTACACTGGGAACATCTAGATTCAATCGTTTCTCCAGTTGGAACAGCCCTGTGCGTGCTATCCGTACTATACGAGTTCAGTTGAGGAGTCGTTTCAATATCCAGAATGATTTTACCAGACGCGAGGTTGAGCTTTTCGTCATCAAAGAGCTCCAGATGACCTACTTCAGTAAAGAAATTCAAGCGCTTCCAAGTCTTTGCCTAAGGATAGCTCTGTTCTTTGCTTGAATCCTCACCTTGAAGGGACTGCTGCGTGTTGGTGGACGCATTAACCGAGGTGACTTTCATGAGACCAGGTCGCAGTCATATTGCCAAGCTCCTTGTGCAACATCACCACTTGCAGGTACAACATCAAGGACGCCACATGACCGAAGGTGCAATTCGTAATGCTGGACTTTGGGTAACCGGAGCAAAACGTCTGATTGCTTCCACGATACATCGCTGTGTGACATGTCGCAGACTACGTGGGAAGTTTTCCTCTCAGAAAATGTCGGATCTGCCTTAAGATCGCCCGACTCCTTCACCGCCATTCACACTGGTTGGTGTTGATGTATTCGGTCCTTGGAACATCATCACTCGACGTACAAGAGGCGGAAACGTAAGTTCGAAACGATGGGCAGTCCTCTTTACCTGTTTGTACAGCTGAGCAGTCCACATTGAGATCATCGCAGAGATGACGTCATCATCATTCATCAACGCCATGCGGCGGTTCATTGCCGTCCGAGGTAAAGTTTCGGAGTTCCGCTCAGATTGCGGTAGTAATTTTGTAGGAGCGGTCAATGAGCTTGGAATTCACTCTATCAACATGGGAGATCCTCAAGTGAAAACTTACCTGGACACCAACAACATGATCTGGAGATTTAATCCTCCCCATGCATCTCACTTCGGCGGAGTATGGGAGAGAATGATAGGAATAGCCCGACGCATTCTCGACGCGATGCTTCTTGACGTCAAAGATGGACAGCTGACAGATGAAGTGCTAGCGACTTTCATGGCCGAGGTTGCTGCTATAATGAATTCTAGACCTTTGGTTGTTGTTTCTTCGGATTGCGAGATGCCTCATTTGCTGTCGCCAGGAAAGTTACTTACTCAGAAGACCACTGACGACATAATCGTCCGGCAGGACTTAAGTATCAAGGATATGTACCGCTCGCAGTGGCGAATGGTCCAGGTCATGGCGAACACGTTTTGGAAACGCTGGAAATCGGAATTTCTGTTTGCTCGACAAGCTCGTTCTAAGTGGAACTTAGAGACTGTTAATCATAAAGTGGGTGATGTTGTGTTTCTCCGGGACAAGGAATGTCCCCGTCTTTCGTGGCCGACTGGTCTTGTTACCAAAATCTTTCCGAGTGATGACGGACTAGTGCGTAAACTAGAGATCCGGGTTGTGAAAGAAGGAAAACCTAGCGTTTTCATTCGATCCATTTCGGAAGTGATTCCGCTACTTGATTCCTGTGAATAACTTTTTCGTGTATTAGTGCCAAGTGTGATGCGAACTGTTGTGACATTTAGATGCAGAGACTGTGCAATGTCAAATTATGACCTCAGCTATATTGATTTATGTGTTTTCATTGTTTAGTTGCTGTTGACTCGATTCGTATTTCGATCTAAGGTATAGATCTTGTGAAACTTTTCATGAACTTGAATGATTAGAAATCAGACGGGGAGTGTCATGTTAGTGTAATAGAGTTATCCCCCTTCTCGGAACTCTTGTTTATATTTGGTAGCGGGGATTTCCATTTTCTGTGTCGTATGCTGAACGTTTCAAGATGTCGGACGTGTTTACATCGCTGAGCGATTCCACAGTACAATTCTAGGAATTTTACCGTCTCTAGTCCCCCAAAGAGTGAGTTTATTGTCCCATACAAGTTCAAGAATTATGTTCTTCCAATTGTTGTAAAATAGTCACTGCCTTTGATACGCTATGCAAGTTGGAACTTATTACCAATCTGCCAATTTTTCCACTGTCCCATTTCGCCCCATAATGTTTTCATCCTGAATCGACCCACTATTTGCTCCCATCTCGATTTCGTGTTATTTCTGTGTTTTTGCTAAGTATGAGCCGTAGTAGATTTTTCTCAATTACTCGTGTTGTGTGCCCAAATTTTGGTAAGTGACTGATGAGTGTTCATTTTGCTCTTTCAGTTTTTCACTACATACATGCTCACATCCGTAGTCTGATCTATATACATACATCGATCAACATGTTGTACTTCGTTTGACTTCTGCGTGTTAGCGACATACTTGAAGTATTGCTTTTTCTGGAATAAAATCGAAGCCAACATTTCTACATGCTTCAAGCGTTCTTCATTTTCATCGATCACAGGCTTGATAGATACTCACATGCATTTCTAACAAATAATATTAAACAGCAACAGGAGTTCAATACAACATTACAGCGATGTATCACTTCCAGCTGTAAGACATCTAGATAGATTTCTTTAAATCAAACCATTTAGGGCATCGATTCTGATTGTATTTTTAGAGCAAAATTCACACTGAATGTTAAATATTCTTACCATATTAATTGACTTTACTCTCAAAGGACCATGGAAATCCTAGTTTGTAATTGTACTTGATAGTTTCATCATATTTCAAATCAAGGTTATCATTCTGTATTCAGATATTCATAAACTTCGCCATGAGTTATAGGAATACTCAGAGAGCAGTTTATGTTCGCAGTGTGTCTACATTTCCATCAAAGTATGATATCAGATCACTTTTGTTCCAAATCTTTAACGTAATTGAAATCTTGCTAAAGGGACCAGATGTTATACAAATATTTGTTCGTTGTAATTCGGCACAGTGCAGATTTTAAAGGAGTCACTTGAACAAATGGTTCCATTAACAGTCGCATAAAAGGTTTTCAAACGAAGAACTGTTTTCTGATTTTCAAGATCGAAATTGTATATTTTTGGATGGAGCGAATTTTACATAGCCCAATCTCATGAATTATATACTATATTATTTACTGTTTAGATTCGTTTATCAAGACCACTATTGCACGATTCTTATGACTGTGATAAAGTCGTATTTGACTTCATATATATAAGTAAAATTCTCCTTTAAACATCTATCAAGACAGAATTTCAAACAGTTGAATTTTGTGGAAAAACAAAAAACTTTTAACGTACATTTTATACAATGTATAGCGAGATAATACCTGAAAATACTGTAATACCTGAAATATGAAGTTCTATACGAGTGTCTAGAATAATTACCAGCACATATGGTATATGTCATATGGTAGGTTTTTTATATTGCTTTAAAACCTTAGAGATAGCATCATTACCATAAATTTAAAGCTTTGCACATCGCCTCAGCTAACACACATTCTAGCTTTATGTTAATCATTCAGCTGATTATAATGTTCAAAAAGCTTTCCCAGTATATAAACATGTAAGGAGGATACAATTGTAAATAAGAAAAATGACATACTAATGTTTTAAGTAATATCCAAAATGTAAATATAACCAACGGACATCTGTACCCAAATGCAGTTTTCTGATTTGTCGATTTTTCTTTTCATTTCTCGATGAATAAATAGAACTAGCTCCGCCCATTTGATGACGGACTGCAACATCAGGAAATTGTCAAATATGTACACAAAGAATAAACAATGCAATTATCAGGGGTAAATGCGTTATTTTATACTTGTATCAATTTTTGTTTGGAATGGGACGGGCCCACCAATGAATTAGCTGTCAATGATGTCACGTCATGTCACGCCAGCTGTTATAATTTGGTGATTGGGTATAAAATATTCCGTCATGAAATTATCTAATCATTTATTTATTATTCTGGGTTTTTTAATCTATGTAAGAAATTGATTATAGCGTTTTATAGAAATTTGTTTTAGTTTCATGCTGGTTTGAAAGATAATACAAACTTTTCATGAATGTGCCACGTGCATGCATTCACTTTACAAAAGAATTTATGGAACATCTTTTACTGAACAAAACTGACTGGAAATATGAAATTCCCGACTTTTCCAGAGTCACGTCTTCAGTATCTGTTTGCCTTTAAATAATTGATACAGAAAATGTTACTAGATATATAGATTTATTCTGACAATGTACAGAAAATATGTACAGGATTAATTATCTGATAGTCATCTCTTTATACAATTTATACTAAAATAAAGTTCACCGTCTATTTTTTTCTTTACAACAATACTTCTGTGGCTGGTTTTATCAATGTTCATCTAGATTATATTCAAATTGTTTAAATGTCGTTGCATTTACAACATTAAATGGAAGACTGTTCCAAACATCTACGGTCTTTTGCGTGAACGAATATTTCCTGAAGTTCAATTTTGAAAAATGTGTGTGCGACCCTTCGTTGACGGATAACAAGTCTGCGACCTCTGAGCCATATTTCCCGGAAATTATTTTATACACCTTTATCATATCACCATGTGATCTTCTATATGCTAATGTTGGCAATTGTACTTTTTGTAGACGCTCTGTGTAAGATAATGGTGAAAGGCCTAGTACCTGCTTGGTTGCACGGCGTTGGACATTTTCGATTTCTGCCACCTGTTTTTCTAAATGAGGGCTCCAGCCTTGGACGGCATATTCTAAATGAGGTCTAACTAAAGTTGTGTACAACAATTTAAAACAATTTGGGTCCAGATATTCCATTGTTCTTTGCAATACTCCCATGACTGAATTTGCTTTATTAACCTTATCAAATATATGTTTATGAAACGTTATCAAGAATTGTAACACCGATATTCTCTTCCGAGTCCACAAATAGTAATGGCTTTGAATCTTTTTTCAGCTTGTAGTTGAATTTGACCACATGTTTTCCTCTGATGCGCATCATTTTACATTTGAAAACGTAGTTGCCAAGTTTCCGACCATTGTTGTAATGATCTTCTTGCAGATTCCTACAATCTTGTTCGCTATTTATTGCTCTGAAAGCTTTTGTGTCATCTGCGAAGAGTTAAGTACTTGTTCCCTCACTCGTAATATCCGGCATATCATTGATGTACAATACAAATAAAAGTGGTACTGATATATCACTTGTCCGTCTGAAATTACAACCTAACAAAGATTTTATAAGCTTGTGCGGTATTTCAGGTTAGCATTTATTGTATTTCCGTAAGTGCGCTGTTACTCCCTCATACAGAGAGTATAGTCCGCTCGGTCTCTTCATTTGAGTAACAATATATATAGGTTGAAGTTATAATAGTTTACAGTGGATTTCATTGATCGTATGATAAACATTAGGGATGACACATTCATATTCTTTGAGTCCACAAGTGTTACTGAATCGATAACTTCCGGATCTCCAGTTCGAGTTCTACTATATTATAATGAATCACTTTCACGGATATTTATTACAAGATGGGTCATGAATCAACTTATTCTGATAAGTAAAACCTTTAACCCTGCAATTCTGCCTACAGTTTCTATATACAATATCTTGTTTACTACTATACTATCCCACATGTAAGAAGTTAGTTACAAGGTATATCATCTATTACAATATACACATATTGTCTACTAAATTCCAAGATACGTTTAACACCAAAAGAGCAATAATGATCAAATTGTAATAATGTGAAATGATAGTTATTTATTAATTTAATCGCCTGAGGAGGTTTGGACTGACTATAAATCGTAGGTGTACTGGGTGTTGTCACGATGAATGAAAGGTACTTAATCTCTGCGTCCTATATTTATTTTATTTTATTTTTATGTCTCCATGGTATCCTATTATACCGTGCACGCTTTTTAGGATTAAAACGGGAATTTTCACGAGAGTTTGGTAATCATACTTATATTAGTACAATGTGTCTCATGGTGATAAGTACATGTATATAACGACACGTGTGACATGTTTGTATTGAAGCTGCTATATATCTATAGTGTAATCCAAGCCCTTGTTCGCTGAGGTTACTGAAACAGGTCATTTATCGACTCTGCATTGTCATTCCCAACTGTGTGAACCTAAAAAGTACAAAACAATAATGTTAGTATACTAACAACCTTAATCACAACTAAACTATTAATCTTATTTTCTGTCTTTACTGATTTTGTTTAAGATACTTCACACATATAACGACATTAAGAAGCCTTGTATCGGTCGCCGATTATTCTACTATTTGATATATGTATGCAATATCTTTGAGTATTTCCTGTCATAACTAAATTTGAATATTGTAAAATACTAACAACTAAAGATATATGAATAGTTTATTTTTCACCATTAGAATAATTCAATTGCTCGCTGGGGTAATTGCACCGTGAACAATCAGTGTCATTTTAAGGCTGGGTCACCTAGAAGTAGCTGGTAACTACTTCACTAAACAAGATACAGGAGGCCCTTCACATGTCTTCCAGAGAGCTGGAAGGAAGGGGGGGGGCACTTCTCAGCTTTATGAGAAGCCAACCTCCATGTGGAGGGAAAGTAGAAACACACGCCTAGGATCTTCACAGAGACTGTGTAGTATATCAGCAGAGGTATCACTGTGCCTTACATGAGAAAAAATACAAGTGTTTCCCTGGTTTTAAAACCTAAAACAATGTACCAGGTATTAGAATAAAAGAAATCAAATGTAAAACTGCACGTATTTCAGTTGCGGTAAAGCACAACGCACCAAAACCTTCGTGCGCACATAGTACATATTTCGTTCGTACATCGTGCATATATCGTACTATACAATATTGTGCGCACACCCGTGCGACAAGACCGTATACTTTGTACGGTTTGGTAAAAATGATTGGCTTATATCATTGATTGACAATTAAAAGGAAAACTCGTTTAGTTATAACCAAATAGGATCACAGGAAATTGATTGGTGAGTATAAAAACCATTTTCAATGGGACAGTTTTCGAAATAGCATTTGACCTTCATTAAATAGTCTAAACGTATATAGCTTCACACATCAGAAATGTTCTTCGTTATATATACTCAACAAAAAAAGAAAGGTTAACATGTTTCCTTGGCGAATACCTGTAAATGAGTGAAAACAAAATGACGTTTGTGCAATATTAGAAAATGGTAATGTTTTACATAACAAAATCCAAGGGGGTTACCAAAATCATTCAAGCGTGAAAGTCTGTAAAAGCTAAAGAGCTGCACGAGGTTTTCTGCGACTAGCTTGTATCTTCGCTTGAATTTCATAAACATTCAAACTGACAACTGTTCCTTAGATCCTTAGGACTTAGAAATCTCACCGAATCTTGCTATCTACCAACTTTATCATTATGCCCCGGCTATCACAAGTACAGAGAGAAAGGGCTGTAGGCATGATCCAGGCTGGGGAGTCTCGCCGTCGAGTTGCACGGCATTTTGGTTGCAGTTTTAAGACAATTTACCAGTTGGTAAGTCGTTTAAACCAAACTGGATCAACATCCGATCGTCCCCGAAGCGGCCGACCCCGTAAAACGACCGCCAGGGATGACCGTCGTATACGATTGATACACTTGCGCAATAGATTCGTAACCGCAATAGAGACTACAAGGACATTGTTTGGGCGTCGTGTGTCTCCCCAAACAGTCCACAACAGGTTGAGGGCCTACCATTTGAAAGCGCGGTGTCCCTACACTGGACCCAATTTGTTGCGACGTCACCGTAATAATCGGCGTAACTGGACCCGTGTTCACCGTCGTTGGGCCTTACGACAATGGAACAATGTTCTGTTTTCAGATGAGTCCAGGTTTTGCCTGCAACACGGTGACGGAAGGCGCAGTGTGTGGAGGTGACGAGGGGAGCGTTTTGCGAACTACTGCGTCGCAGAACGGGACCGCTTTGGCGGCATTCGATATCGGGACGAAATTTTAAGACCAGTGGTTCTGTCGTTCTTAAGACGCCATGGCGTTGGCGCCATTTTTTAACAGGATAACGCACCAGCGCACACCAGTCGCGTCAACAGAACTTTCTTGCAGCAAAATAACGTACAGGTGTTAGATTGGCCATCTAAATCACCTGATTTGTCACCGATTGAGCATGTCTGGGACGTTCTTGGGCGACGCGTCTCAGAACGTCAAAATCAGTCGTCAAACTTGCAGGAGCTGGCCCAAGCCCTGATCGCTGAATGGAACAACATCTCTCCTCGAATTATCCGCCGGTTTACGAGTTCCATGCGACGACGCTGCAATGCTGTTTACTTCGCAAACGGTGGCCATACCCGTTACTAATGGTGTTACCTTTGAAATTGACCCCAACGTCCTTTACAGGCGAATAAAATCAACTGAACGCAAAGTTTATAATGAACTATGACTACAGTTTTATCAGAATTGATCAATTACTTTATTCGTACATGATTGGTAAGGATTTATGAAGGGGTTAATTAATCACAGAATAAAGTAGTGTTACCTTTCTTTTTTTGTTTAGTATATTATAAGAGAATGAATAAACCCTATCCCATATTTATCTAAAGGTCATTTGGAAATTTATTTTTACCACGATAGAATGGCACAGCTTATTTCGTCCAGTTTTCCTGTCACGTATAACGTTGTGCGATCACATAACTGAACTAAAGACACAAGTGAATAGCAATTTATTTTAAATCAACTAAACTGCATCATACAGCTGTTTGTTTTTCTCGTATCATTGATGCTAAGGATAAATTTTGAAATCTGCGGGGCGACTGAAGAAAATCAAAATTCACAGAAAGAATTGTAGAAATATAGATGGAAAGATGTACTTGTACTAGGACATAAATATCTGACGATTTGAAACGACCGTCAAGTACATATTTTTGCCAGTGAGATTTAGAGAAATATCTCATTGATAAAAGTGTTAATTTCCGTTTTTATTAGGCACTATACTGATTCATAAGATATATTTAGTAATCTTAGGAAGCCGAAATACTTTCGATGTGTGTTTAGTACACTCTTGAAAACGTTTGTCTCTTAGTAATGGAATCCCTACCACGTATCATGGGAACAGAAGTAGTATGTCCTTGGAGGTGGCATGTTGTTAAAACTGGTAGAGAGGCAGAACGAGTAGGCTCCTGCGAAACTAACATTCATCCACTCCCCGACTTCCATCAGCGGCAACTGGATGTTGATTGCTAGACAATCCATGCAGCAGCAGGTTGGTCCCCAAATAGTGCTTGCATGCTTTTCTGTTCTTAGCTATAGATTAGAGATAATATAAATATAACTGTATTTCAACATAAAAATATGTCAACATGTACATGGATATTGTTTATTTTTTGTCCTAACCAGAATATGATTTTAACAAGGAACCAGACAAATGATTACTAAGGAGTAATGAACAGTCTCAGTGTGTTCATTACGTGATGTTCATTCGAGTATTAATCTCCAGTCATACAGTATTACATCATTGATTATAAATGTTTCTGAAATGTTAAAGCCCCAATATACGTAACATTCACCAAAAATTTAGTGCAGAATCACACATGATTATTGAGATATTCTCTAAGATGTAGTTAAAATTAAGTTATTCAAACAATAGTTACCATGACTTTGTGCATAAAGTATTGATATATGAGCAGTTGAAACTCGCTATTTGTAAACACACCTCCATTTTAAACACGCCGCCATCGAAATTACGATTGTTGCCGAAACACGTCGGAAAGTTCATGACCTGATCTCGCGAGAGTTGAGGTTATTATTATTTATAGAGGAAGCACATGCAGATATGTCTACGGTAAGTTTTTGTTTACAAACATTGTTTGCGGAGTCTTGTCGTAGACTTGAGGTATTCCTGTGATAAACATTCAGTGTTTGGGAAATTATTAGAAGGAAGAATTAGTTTAGAAACGATACGACGCACAATTATAACGTAAGTATTCAGAACTGGCCAGATGTATGATTGGAAAAAAAGGAAGCCACTGGTGAACGTCTGTACTGTGTCTACCATGTTTACACACGCGGAAATGCGCTTGCGCAATGTCATCGCTACGAGCGGTAATGTATGAATTATTGTGGGTCCCACATTGTTTATTTTCCGATTTTTTCAATTTTTATTTAAATTTAAACCAGTCAGTTTTATTTGCTTTAATTAAAGGAAAGTATTTGTTTTGTTACATATATTAAGGGCAAAATAAGATAAAAAAAATTTTTATAGTGATTTTTTACGTATATTGGGGCTTTAATGTTTCCAAAGTCCACCACTTGTGTAATGCCTTTATGCATTTACCTACATGTATAAGGTATTTATAAGACTTGTTATGCTTCTGATGATTGCTAGATTATAAAATTAAAGGTTAAGAATGTAACCTCAAAACACAGGAAAACCAACCTTTTTAGAAACAGGAGATGTGCAAAATCCGTCCGTAATTTCTTTAACCCAATTGAAAGACCCATAAACTCCATCATTAATGTTGTACATCACATGTTCAGTATTGGTTTTATCTGAAATATCGTCTTATCGTTTTAAACAATCTACGCAATATAGCCATGATTAAGTAAATACAGTAAATAGATTCATAAAGAAAAAAACACAATCACTCAATATATATTTGATGATACGTACCATGGTTGTAAACAAACTTTCGTCCAATGATAATAACTCCAGCGCTGACTGCAGTTTCTACCAAGAAACGTCCTGGTTCAGCGATAATTTTCACTCCGTTTGTTTCCGGGAAATATTCGTCAAGACTCTGGTTTATAATGTCTGCATTCTAAATGTATACAGAGAAAAAACAATATGATAAACACAAAATCTTTTTATAAACAATAGAGGATATTTAATTGTGTCTTCAGTAATAAATATAGTTTACATGCCAAACAGCCTAATTACTGCCATACAGATATAAAAGTAGAAAACTGACTAAGCTTTATCCAGACTCTACTCACTTCTTAAAACTTCGCAGTAAGCGACATAATAAAGTCAGTTTTTAAATTCAATATATGTTAACAAATATTAAATTTCAATGTAAATCAATTGATTTTTACATTCGTATAGAAGATGTTACTTATCCATGATACTAACAGAAAAAAAATGTTGAAAAACATTTAGAGAGTTTAACCTATGGCAAGTTACTACGCGGCTGAAAATATGGCGGCAGCTGTAGTCGCTGTTGATGACAAGAATCCTCTTGAAAACAATACCTTCAGGTTCCAGGTTTTGTGATTTTTTTTGTCAAGTTTGAAAGATAATTTGTGTTCTTTCTTAAAATTGATGGGAGTGTGTAAGAGTGTTATTTTTCACGAGTTAAAAATTACAAAAAGTTTATGCATGACATATTTTTTAAAATTTCAATAGAAAGAATGTAAAAGATTTTCAGTTAGAGAATCCCTACTTCGACGCTTTTTCTTGATAAGAGGATGCTATATATTCTTTTCGTTGCTGTGTCTGATAAATGCTTTTGAGTACCAACGTACCTCTTCTATAGTCGGTCGGTCAACTTCTCGTCCTCGGAAGCCACCTCCTATATCAAGGATCTCCATAGCACAGCCGACCTGTAGTCCCATATCAAATATCATCCGTGCCTCTTTGATAGACGTGGAAAAGGCGTCGACACTAAGACACTCACTCCCAACATGGAAACTTCAGGCAATGAGACAAATGAGATAAAAAGGTTTTTTTTTAATTTCACTATTATATAACAGTAGTAAGACGAATTTAAAATGAAAACTATTTTAAGTTGAAATTTTGAAATTCAGATTATACAGATGAAGTTTTGAATCATTCAACTGACCTCACACCAATGACGTTCAAGCCTTTTTCTTTTGCTGATATTAATAGATCCGTTGCTTCTTCGATAGTACATCCGAACTTCTTTCCGAGGTCATATGTAACTTTGTATGCATGACTTGATCGGAATCTCAGTAGTAATCTGTAAAACAAATATAGGAATTGGATTTTCCTTTTATATTAACCATGGTTTTATGGAGCAGTGTATATTCTATGAGGCGCATATCCCGATAGTCTTTTTCACCAAAATTTACTGTATAGCAATTCTTGTTAATGCGTGACAATTTTACAAGGCACTAAAAAGTTCCGCTCTTAAGTGTGAAAATGACATAACAAAACAGAAACATTTTTATAGATTATCATATTTAATCTGACTAAACATTTGATTTTGTGTCGTGTTTAAATTGTTTTGATTAAATGTAATAACTATAATGCAATTGTATAACCACGTGTTTGGCAAAAGTAGTTCCATTAACATTTTCATGCACAAGTTCAAAAGTTTCCATGCTAGTTTCATCGAGATTTTACGATGGTTTTGTTGTTAACTGTAAAAATGATGGAGACAGAATTGTAACGTTGTTACTTTTATTCCCGAAGTAGAAGTGAGGGGTTTTGGGGAAAAACAAGTAATAGATTGTCTGAAGAACGTGAACTTCTGATTGGCTGATTCCATAGCGGCGCATGCCCAGATTGGTCACGGGTGAGCATGGAGTCCTGCGACCATACTGACTCGCTCAACGCAGCATAAAGCCTCAGTTACTTCACGCTTATCGGCTACACCGGTACTATTTGAATCTGCTCAACTTGACAACACTATACTTTAAAGGTTTATCTTAGTGTCGCGACCGGCCGAAAGAGTCTAGGGGGCTTGAGCTTTTTTGCAAATATACGATTAAGTGGTTTGACATAATAGTTTACAGAGAAGACTATACTACAAGAAAAATACCATTCTGCAGTGAATGAAAGGTTTACGCTGGTCAATTACCAAACAATTGAACAAAGATTACTAGTGTAAGATTTTATATATATAGTATTTTGGAGTTAGCGTAATTTCGAGCAGATAAATTTAAAGTCTAGAAAATATATGGGTTGACAAGACTTTAAAAAATAGAATAAATTTTCAAAATATCATTTACAAAAACAAAAAACAAAAACTATGAAAATGAAACGACTATATTTTCCCTAGGAAACTGGTATGGTAAACATCTTAATATGGCAATGTTGTATAGTCATAAAAGTTTGCAAGTGTAAAAAAGAGTCGTAAAAATAAATCTGTTTCCTAATTAATATGAAGCGCTGCAACGACGTTGACAACTTGGTACTGCACTAAAATAACATAGTGGTCTTGTGTAAGTGTTCCTGGGAAACCTATTATGTATGTAAAAATAACAAAATCAAGGAAAACACTCGATATTGAGGTCACATAACAGCATTTTGTTGCATTGTGTATATACAATTATATTGATAACTACTTATATACGTCTTAATTGCTTCATAGCAGCTTTGAAAATCCTGTTAATAATTTGCACAATTTGAAACTTATTTGTCGTCCTTGTAAAACCCTTCTTCAAATTTGAAACATTACTTTTTATGGATGTAATCTCCACTCCTGAAAAATAAGTATTAGATTACCTTGCAGTCCCATACAACATCTTGATCTTGATCAATTCCTCCTCACTATCAAAGGTCATCAGGTCAACATTGTGCTCTTTGGCGTAGGAAAGATGCGAGTTTTGTTTGCATGGATTGGCGTAGATGATACGAGATGGATCGACCCCTAATTCTAAGATCTGCTGTATCTCTTCCTATGACGTCAAACGAATACATATTGTGTCAGTATTTTTGCGACGCGCTAATAAACAACTATGCCAATGAGCATGACCAAAGCATGCTATATAGATAAAAATGAACGTATCTTTATTTGCATCATGCATTCCTAGTCTATGCTCGGCAATAGTGAACTTATGAACTGAAAATTTGGTTTTAGATTTTTACATAATTAAACAAGATTTACGGTAGCTGTTTCGGCTTCATATTTTCAGTTGGTTACATGTCGTCATGTATAAATAACGATGCCATTTTGCCTATTGCCTTAATGCTGGGGTCCAGTAATTGATAATTCAATGTAAAGTGAATACCTTGCTTGCACAATCAAAACTGCTGCCAAGCTTTGCAAGGACTTTGGCGATCTTCTCATCATTGTTACATTTCAAAGCTGTAAAATAGAGGTATAAGTCACGCTGTAAAACAGTAAATGTTACTTGTATATAAAGATTTGTCATTTTTGTGGTGCTTTTAAAGGAAGAAAAAGTATACTTCACTTCGAAAGATAAGATTTTTAAAAATGTTATTCCTCCACAGTAGAGACAAACAGAGAATTAAACTGCATCATACATCTGCTTTGTCCTTCGAGGACTTGTCAGTGATGGCAATGGCTGAAATATTGAAACGTCCATGTAGGCTATAGCGGAAAATCCAAAGTGATCGGAAGAAATGCCAATATCTCGATAATGAAAGGAAAAATGACAAATAAAATAGTCTGAAATATATATGTAATTACCATAGAATAGTTCCACCCTGGGGAGCAGTTTGTTCCATTTCCTGTATCTCTCAACTACCTCATCAATATCAACGACAACCAGAGGATCGTCTATTTCCTGTATCAATGTTTGGAACAGAAACCTCATGGAGCTTTAACCAATAGCAATTCTTACACATTGCCCAACATTAGACGTTATGTTATGTTTGACTCCGAATGGCGAAAAGTTAAAGAAAAAATAATTTATGAAGAGAGATTGTTATACAAATAAAGTACAACGTTATATAGTTAGATTATCACATTGTGGTAAATATTATCTCGATATTGATGGTTTATCTGACTGTTCTTCATTAATATTATACCAAAATATCACGAATAAAATCTTCTACAAATCCCTACCATTTGATAATCTTACCAATTCTGTTTGGTATTTGACCTGTTTTCTTATGTATTCTTCACGGGGACGTCGCTCGTCGACGATAAGCACGTTATTATAATCCATTTTCTTTTAAGACAAAAATCACACGTTAATATTTTTAGTGATACAATAGTGAATATCTATAATTATATTTGTCAGACACTTTGAACTTAGTTGTATCATTGTGAACCACGGAAGCGATGATACTCCTTCTATCTAACCTGTCAATAAATTGCGATGCTTAATGGTTCATATTGCTAGTGCTGCATTAGAATGGTAAAATTGGCATTATTAGTTTAATGTTTTCTTTTATATCACGAACGGTCAGCATTGGTTGACCCAAACTTTGTTGGCATATACAGAGTCGCAGTGTCACTGCTCCAATGTCAGTTTAATTTAATTATCAACATCCATTTAAATCGTGACGTCAACTTTAACTTTTTATTTTCAGTTTGATAATTCATTTAATAATTTAAAACTAACACTTAGTATCATTCTTTATCTAAGTCACTCATGGGGGAACAGATTATCAAATCACGAATAAAAAGTTTCTTGAAAGGTTTGAATGGTTTCTTGTCGTTCTTACAGACACAACGCATGCAACAACGCTTACTTTTCCTGACCCCATTGAATCCGACATCATGACCATAATAAAATTCATAATTTCAGACAATTTCACTTCATGCCGCCGAAATGAACGCCCACTGTATGTTTTTTAAGCAAGAACAATAGCACACTGCTAGGAATTTTATCGCGTGACATATCGGTTGTGAAACAGACGTAGTCATGTGATAAATATGTTTAAAACAGTATCGTATCTTTTAACAGGTTTTTGCAGTTTATCCTACATCTCCACATAAGGAACACAAAGTTTGCTAATTTGACCGTACAATGTTCATTTCCTTGCTGTTTGTTAGCTATAAATTCCAAATAATGCACATTTCAACGGGTTTAAAGGATGCATTAATGATGGTCAGAATTAATCCAGGTATCTAATGATATATTAAACAAACTATAATAACTGAAGATGAAGAAATAGGTAGTAGTAATTAACTAATACTTGAATCATAAAAGATGTCAGATAATTATAGACAAGGGTGTCGTCACATCCCAGGCACTGGTGATTACATGTAATTAAAGAGTGAAAATAATTTTGTCTGGGAACCACAGGAGCTCGGCCTAGAAAGCCTGTACACTACGCTTTGACATTTAAGTTCAATAAAGCTTTATTAACACAATCATAATGTAATTCATATGCAGTTGGACACAAACCTGGAAATGTGCAAACAATCAATCCTACTATTTATGCATCATATAAAAATTGAAACTCTGCGCATGCCATTCTCATGTGGCGGTGATGCTAAGAACCTTTGACGAGATATCAACTCCATGACGATGCATCGCCAACCACGTCTACAATACAACACTTATCGTTTTCATTGAAATGAAGAAATAATACGTTAAATCTTGAATCTTTACTTTGTAGATATGTCTCGTAAGGCAATAAATTTCAATGGGTTATATTTCTTTTATCAAATCAATCTTTCATGAGTTCAAAATGTATGATGTACATACATATGTACCTTTTCCATTTCATAATAAGATAAAATAATTGTGTTGAGTTTCTTCACAGAGGAATAAAAGTACACATTGGAACTGGATTCGACTGATCCTAAGATGAGGTTTTCCTCTACAAGACAATAGGAATATTTCAGAGTATTTCAATCAAGAGTAAATAGGATTATATTCCTCATAAAGGCAATGTAATTGTGTTCAGAGAAATGAGATGCTTCCTCCAGCTCATTTTCTGTCCTGAGTGATCACTCGTTCTTCTCATTAAATGTATGTCTTAGGGATTTCTCTCGTGACTAACATCTAAATGTGACTATTCACTTCGCTTTTAAAAATGGTATCAGCTTAAATATTTAAAGAACAAAATAAAAATAACTTTCATTAACATTTCTCCCATACTTTACAGGGTTATCCTCGTTTTGTGTAGGGAAAGATAAATCTGTCGTAACCGGGGTAGGGAAAAGACAATCTACACGCGCTCATATTATTAGTTATGTAGTTTGCTAGTGACCCCCTATATTCCTGTAGGGGGTCACTAGCAAACTACATAACGAATTTATTGCACCAAGGACCCATTTAAATATATATATAATACGTCCCATCACATTTCCTGGCATCCATGTAAAAATGGCCAAGACATTCGTCCAGTCGGACTACATCGTAATCTTCAAAATCTGGGTTTTGCTGCTTTTCCACCAAATAATCTTTGAACACTTTAGCGGCCAACTTATTAGCTTTTAACGTCTTATCAGCGTTAAGTGCCAGGCGTTTTTTTTCCTTGTCTGCAGCTGTCGTCTGCCCGAACCGCCCAGCCATTTTTGATCCGAGTCAAATAGGTGCTTCGTGTAGGGGAAACAACTCGTACTAGATAATAGCAACTTCTAGGATTCACTCTAGCCAATATTCCGACACGGAACAGAATGTGAATATCGCCAATCTGTGATTTGAAATTACGAAGTGACGCCTTTCAGAGATAATGGATGGCGGCCATTGCCCCCTATATATTCAGCTGCCCGCTATAGATTTATAGGGGGCAAGCAACGTCCAATCAGATCAATGCATTCTAGTCCGAGGTGCAATAATACGCAATATACAGCACACTTCAATTTATCTGACCTTCGACCCACTGCACTTTAAAACAGAAATGATTGCTTCACTGTTTTCTGTACACGAATACCAACAGAAACATTTAACAAACGATCCATGGGAGTATTGACGATGGCGACAAGTCAACATCGCAAAGCATATTACCATTGGACAAAATGGGGAAAAGAGGGAAAGTGTACGGCAAAAAGACTAACAAATGCAAGTGTGCGAAAACTCACATCTCAAAGCTACTAGATGAACACAGGCGATTACTGTAACTGGACATAAAAATATCCAATCCCTAAATAATTATAGAACTGGTATAACAAATCAAACTGGAGCACATGTACATACCTCATGAAATCAAGCGAACGTTACACGTGTCATCCCCATAAAGTGTGTGGTCTTTTCAAGGGTGCTACTATAACTGGTGGAATATTCAGTATCACGATAAACAAAAGTAACACTTCAGTCCCAGCTCAGGCGAAGCTGCCTAGAATTTTGTATTCGGACTCTATGTGAACTTGTATACAATATCTAGTTATGCAAACCAAATAAAGTTCGAAGTGACACGATTAATTATAATATAATGGAATGCTAATTTTGTTTATGATGTATGAGATAAACACCTAAAACTGTCAAAATGTGTAAGTAAATGTTTATTTCGTAACTTGAAACTTGACATTCATGTAAATCTAATTTATCTGTCATTGTATTCATACGCCATTCATGACAATACGCTAGGTTCACGTATACTTATCGGAGGCCTATAGTACGGGATTTTTTTTTCTGGAAAAAGTATGGGAGAAAAATAATCAATCACCCATGTGTTTTGTGGACAGGGGTATCCCTGTCTATAAAACACAGTGGTAAAAGATTATGTTACTCCTTGCGCAGTAAAGGTATGTACATTGAGTTTTTTGAGGCATTTTGTTTTGTTTTACTGTCATCTTTCACTTCATATTTGTTTGTGTCAGATCGCCGGTACATAGTCGTGTAAATGAATGAAATATACTGTTCCATGATTAAAAAAGGAGTAACGAATCAAATATTTAACAACTAAATGTGGATTATTTTACTCCGTTGAGGACTTACCTTAACATTCAAACAGCAAACAATGGTGGTCCATGCATTGGAATAGCAACACGAGAATGATATTAAGTACTCGTACCTGTCACTACACGATACAGGATAGTAACTGACAAAATTAAGAATATATGAGTGCCATCTAATACCGCCAAATCTTATCTGCGTAACAGCTTGACACGGATGATTAAGAAAAAACTTATTTTGTATGGCGTGCATTTGTTATGTAAAATATATTGAATTTCAAGATCAATACTATAAAATGCTTCACATGCTTGTATTTATTGATGTCAATATTGGCATCGTTTGTTATTTTGAATTTCTATTAAGGAAATATGATTCAAGGAACTTATTCTGCCTGAATAGAATATTTTTTTACTTTTTACAAACAGTTACATATATGCTAATACGTGGTAGTTAGTGTTTATTATTCAAAAGCATGAACTACCTTAATCAATAACGCACACAGTAGGTTATCGAAACATGATCACACATCATAGCTGTGAGATTTGACTAATTTTGAGCATTTTTGAGCCATCTTGCCGTACACCAAATGTAGGTTAATTATAGAACACCCGATCGTCCAAGGAGCGGGCGACCACGAGTTACCATCCCTCGTTAATACTGTGTAATAATTCTGCAGCATACTCGGGATCGGATTATACCTGCAACATTTACAGCTTGTACTTAACTTTGTCCACGAGTAAGCAGTCAGACCATTCGTAACAGGCTGTAACGAGAGAAAAAACCTATTGATACACTCTGGTTTATGAATATATGTTTGTATGATTTTCCTACAAGAAATATTGAATGGTTTTATTTGTTCAACTAAAGCATACCAAAAAGAGTCGATTCAACATAGAACAGACTTCTTTCAAAAGTATTAACAGTGTGCTGTCATGTCGATAAGAAACGCTTACAGTTACTTCTATGAAGTAACTTTCTGAGATATAAAGTGAAAAGCCTCCGAATAAAAAAATCGCCAAATGTTAATACAGCAATGATATCATCAGTGCAATCTTATCAATCCAATGAAGAGAGAAAACGCACACTTTTGAACTGATAAAGATGCTGCTTTGTCATTGATACCTGGTTACAAATATTACTTACATGCCTTTATCCTTTGCCGATAAAAAATATGCCTAAAAATGGAAAATTGGAAAATGAAAATGAAAAGTAAATGAGTAATTTAGCTATCTATATATATATGTGTGTGATATAACAGGACGCAATAGTTAGATATAGTCATATCTGTGTCGTTCCAGCTCTAATCTATGATGGCTTGAGGGCAGTGGTAAAATAGAAATACCATAGATGTAGTCCTGTGTGGACAAGAAAAC